AATAAAGAAAATAATAGATAAAAATAGAAAAAATAAAGTGTTGTAAAATTTATTTACATCTATTATTTTCATTATATAACTTCGTATTCTTTTTAACTTCATATTTATAAAAGTCCATTTAAAGATCTAATTTATATACACACATATATATATATATATATATATATATATATATATATATATATATATATAATATATATATATATATATATATATATTTAATGATTTTTTTTTATTAAGTCTTTAGCTACGTTTCTCATAAATTTTTCGTGGTTCTTAAATTTTTTTTAACTTTCAAATTTTTTTAATTAGTTTTATTATAGGATCTAAAATAGTCTACTTTGTTGAAGAATTCGAATAATGATAATATAAATTACCTTCTATTTTATTTTTAATAAGCTTTTAAATAATTTATAATAATAATAAAATTAATTCATAATATACTATTCTAATAGTATTTTTTTCTCTGTTTTTCATTTTATTTTATATTTATCTCACTTTCTATTAACATATTACGAAATCAACTTATAGCAACTACGTCACCTTATTTATTTTATGTTTAACACTTACCATTTTTATCTCTTAATATTCTAATATATTTCTTTGTGATTTTATTCTTCATTAATTTCATTGTGTTGTTACCGTTAATATATTATTGTTTATTTCATCAGTTCCCAACTGTATTACCTTTATCTTATCTTTGCTTCAGTTATTTCCAACTTTCTATTTCCAACTTTTTTAGAGTTATCTTATTTATATATCATATTATAAACTAAATAAAATAATGATTAAGTGGCCCTTGAAGAGCTGTAAAAAGAAAAAAAAATACAAGAACTATGCTCTAAGGGATAATTTGTGTATATTTTTCTTGACACCTGCTTGCATTCAGTATACAGCCGAAGTATAACAATAAAAATAGAACATATTTTGAATGTATAAGTATTCATCTCAGATCACTCACAGAAAAGAATATGGACCAATAAAAAAGTATAAAAATAAATTTTCTATTTCGGCATAGTTTAGCCTGAAAGTCACTACCTTCTTCTGGAACAGTCAGTGATTTATGACAACCGATTTTGGATAATAAATAAAAATAAAATAGAAACTAGTTTTGTATAGCCAGGAAGATAAAATAAAAAAACCATAATTAATTAATCGATTAAGCCAAATAAATATCATTATTACGTAGACATAATTTCTTATGCAGGATTCATCAACATCATCCATTCTAAGAACGAGGAAGCTGTCAACTAAAAATTTCCTTCTAGAAATTAAAGCTCTAAGTACACTTCGAGGAATGTTCTTTAGTGACGCAAGGGACAGATAAAGGCAAAAACTATAGAACTTTCTACAAGGAAAGGATATAGAACTGAACATAAATGTTTTCCCGATTATTTCAACACCACCATGGAAGGTCTACTTCAAGTTTCTAAGTTAAGTTGAAGTGGATCAACAGAAAGTAAGTTCTATAGACCTAGTTGGTCAAGCGAACGTACGAAAAATGTCTGTATGTATTTTATAGTTTAATTTTATATCATAAATGAACTTAAGACAAAGACAATTTATGTAATCTAGTGTATTTTGTATCAAATTGGAAAACTATGAACGATAAGCATAATTTCATAGTTAAAAAAAAAACTGATTTAAAAATTCATACAAAAACTGTTACCAACATAAAATCACAAACATATTTTTATAAAAATTAAATACAAAAATACATAAATATTGCAATTTCGACGGAATATTAGTTTAGCACAACGAAAAACGTAATGAAACTAACTAATATTTAAAATATTTAGAAGATGAAAATTAGCACAAATATGAATAATTTATGATTATTATTATTATTAACTTTGGGCATTCATAATTTTTTTTTAAGATTTTGATTAACATTGATTAACATTCAATTATTGGAAAGAATTCCGCGATTGTGTTTTAATTGAAGTAGATCTTTATTTTAATTGTCTCTACTTAATTTATTTTTTATTAAATATAAAATTAGTGTAACAAAATTATAATTTCAAAATAATGTCAAAGAAAAGTAAATTAGTCTCTTTACAACGAACAATTCACAAAGTGCATTTGAAAGCTGTCTAAAAAAAAAATTATGTAATGTTTTTATTATGGATAATTTTTATTTTGACAGGTAGACACCACTACTGAGGAGAACAAACTTAAATAATAAATTAATAAAGACTACCAAGATCAGAACCCATAAAAGACATTAAATTACAAAAACAAAAGTTTGGATAATTAATTGAAAACAATCAGTTGGATTTCGATAATTAAAAACTAATGTTATATTAACAGAAACTATTCCGTAGTAGCCAATGACAGTTGTTACCTTATATATGTATATATGTATATAAAGAAGAGAAGAATAGTTGGGGTGCTCAGTCAAAAAAGGAAGGCAAAAATAAATTATAATATTTAAAAAGTAAAAAATAAAAAGTAAAAAATAAATATAAAAAGTAAAAAATAAAAAAAATAAAAAAATAAAAATAAGTAAAAAAAAAGTAAAAAAAAAAAGTAAAAAATAAAAAGTAAAAAAAAAAGTAAAAAAAAAAAAAGTAAAAAATAAATACTATAATTTATTTTTGCCTTCCTTTTTTGACTGAGCACCCCAACTATTCTTCTCTTCATTATCCACGACAGTCAACCAATTACCAATTATGTATATATATATATATATATATATATATATATATATATATATATATATATTTCTTAATAAAACATAATATTTTACTAATTAAGATGTAAAATTTGTTTTAACAAGAATTTTCTTTATTTATTAAAATGTTCAGAAAACAATATTGAAAAATATATGAGTGGCTCCATATCAAAGACAGATCCCCATCATTTTCATAAAGTATATAAAAAGTCAACATTTTTTTTACATATTTAACACAAACTGTTTCTGATGATATCATTTAAGAACGTTCAAGTTGATTCATGAAAATAAATCATTAGATTCGGTTTAAATTGAGGATACTTTACAAAAAATATTGTTTCTCATCTTTTTAAAAATGACAGATGTTCGTCTTTGATATGAGACCACTGATATTTATTCTCTCAAGAATGATTAATTGGAAGGGATACCTAGGAAACGGATTGTCAATTGTCACTGGAAATAGATTGCGCCGATTCACTACGGACGTCATTCAATCAATCAATCGATTAACCATTGAACAGGATAGAAACATCAACAAACCACTATGACTTGACTTTGCTGCACAGTATTAAAATAAAACTTCTTTATTATAACTTGGATAAGCATTAAATTTTATAGTCACATATCGTTATAAGAATTTCTTAATGAAGGTGGAAGCCTTCCGATTATGTTTGGTAGATGGAATCTTCAAGAAGAAAGGATTAGACCCTTGCCCTACCTAGTGTCGGATTTTTACAACTAAGATCACCTCTGTACATTCCCAGGACCTTTACCCATTCACTAAATGTTGGGCTTTAACATTTTAGGAGCCTAGCGGAAAGTATCAGTTCCTGAAAATCCTCAAAATAACATTGCCGAAACTTAATATGCAGCTTCGTAAATATGGATTAATAAGAATGTGCAGGAATTGGCCACTAGGCCTATTTCAAAGAATAATTTTACTATTGTTCTATTGTTATTATAAATTATTGTTCTATAAGTCATATAATTCTTAAAATTTAAATTTTGAACAGACTCTTTGAAGAGGTCTCCAGGCAATAAAAGATTAAATGACAAGAAGAAGAAGAAAAAAAAAATTTTAAATCAAGAATAGCCAAATAAGAACAAAGAAAGGCATCATTATTTTCTAAAAAATATTCTTTATGTGTAAATCTATTTGGTGTAATTTTTGCACAAAACATTTCACTTGTACAGTATAAGATTCAGCTTTTAATTTCAAAGGTGAGGACAACTTTTTATTATTATGAGTTTTTTAAAAACGGTAAATAAAAGATAAATACTGATTCTGAGGATAAATTTTTAATATATATTTTTTCATGCACATTTATTAAGCTGAAGGATAAACTTTTAATATTAAAAAATAACATATTATGTAAGTTTAATTATTTAGTTCAGATCACTTATAGAAACAAATATAGATCAATGAAAAAAAAAAATACAAAAGTTTCCCTCTTAAATCTGCTAATGACAGTGGATATCTTTATGTATATATGTAGGATTCAGTTACTTCTCAGAATTAATAAAGACATTTCATTAGGCTTAAGTAATAACTCCTTAGAAATTGAGCTACATGATCATATTAAGATAACTGTGTTACAGTTTTCTTAATACCATAATAACTAGGTAATACATACTTACATATATCATTAGGACGAAAACACACCAATTTAAAATATAAATTTTCAGCTCGTTCCAAATAAAATATTATTATTTATTATGAATTAATTCACTGTTATTATTAATTTTGAATAAAAATATCTGTTTTATTCACGAATATAATATAATCAAACATTTTTAAATGTTATCTTTAAATAATTTAAAACTTTGCAATGTAAATCCTTATTTAAAAGCATAATGACGGCAGTCTAATACAACAGTTGACCGACGCATAAAAACTTTTTACAAACGATTTCAAGCTAATTGGTAGGAAGAGAAGACCAAGAAGTCGCTGGATGAGGACCTCCTTCTCAACAATGCGTGGTAATTGAATGAAGCCAAGGAAGGAATCTTTACTCTTACCTGACGTGAAATTTCCATTACTTTCATCAGACCATCAGCTGGTCGTCAACAGTTTTTCGACAACTGTAGATGAATACATGAAGCTAAATTAAAATAATATATATATCTTTATGTTGTGTTAAATATCCAAACAAGACGACCAAGTGGCCCAGCAATTGTTCCAAGCTGCGTTATTTATACAAGACTTTTATGGGCAGTTTTTTTTTTTTTTTTTTTTACATTTTTAGTATTAATTTCTCAATAATTCCTAATAAATGACGGGGGCGAACTGAGGATGCCTACTGAATGCGGTGTATGTGGGTAGTGTATGGGTTCTATCGCCCACTGGAGGGGCACTGGTTTGGAACAAAAGCCTGTTCCTCAGCCAGCTTTTCCTTTTTCTGTTTGGATTTACGATCCGACAACAGGTATACCTTACTGCTCCCTTTTATACAACAGCTGAGTTACGCGGGCGTGGAGCGTTATCTAGTGCCGCTGCGTTAGTCCTTGTTTGTTGTCAACTTGTGGAGGGATTATTTATCGATGTCAAAAAACAAAAAGTATAGTTTATTATTATTATTATTTTATATTTCTATTCAAATTTGGAGATAACAATAAACAGATAATTCTCAAAATTATGATACACTTCTCCTTCAGGGCGATTATAGCGGTATTGAACAAAACTTGAAATTTTAGTAATGACTTTAAAATGCATACAAACCTGTTCGTTAAAGCTTTGAAGTACATCATATACTCTTTTCAAGCTATTTCCAAGGATTTTAATGGTAAAATTTTAATGAACCTGTTAAGAGACGGACACTTTAAGGCTCAAAACTAGAGATATTTAAACACAAATAATATTACATTTTAAATATCATACAATAAGTAAATTGCTTTCAGAGAGTTTTTAAAAAACAAAACAAAGTTTTTTCGGCAAATCAGTCCCATTAGGTAAATTGTTTTAATATTTTAATTTATCATGATGATAAATTTCTTGAAATTCTAGAATTAAAACATTTATTGAGAAAAAAAAGGACAAAAAAAGGAAAAAAAAAAAAAACAACAAAAAATTGTTTTTAAGGTGTTATGCAAATTAGTAGATTTTTCTATTAATATTTCAACCAGCACTGATAGAATTTTAATAAATTTATCACAAGGTATTTTGGGAACAATATTCAGGATTTCGAAAAATAAGAACTAATAGGTATTATGAAAATTTAAAATATATATGATGTAAACAACTATCTGTTAAAAATAGAATGCATTTTTTTTTTTGTGTGTGTTTATGTTCTTGTGTTTTGCAGCTTATTTCAATACTTTTCATTACTTAAAGAACGTAGAGAAATTTTAACTTTTAAATCACCGTAATATATATGTATTTTTGTATTAATATATATGTATTAATACAAGTACAAAAAAACGAATTTTTCACACCTATGAACAATACAGTACATTTATTACATTGATTAGAACCAATTAATCTAAGTTCCTCATGTTTGCCTATTTTCTGATATCCAAATATCTAAATCAATGCGTATCTTTTTAAATTATAGTATGAGATTAACAGAAATATCGCCGGATTATCGCATGAATTACATTTTAGGGCTTCACTTTTAATAACGTTTTTGAATTAAATAACGTTTATATATATATATATATATATATATATATATATATTATATATATATATATATATATATATATATATATATCAACTTTGTTTATATAGCTACAATTAATAAAGTTACAAAAAGTAAGCAATGTCCTGATTTCATATACAGAAAATTCATCCTAGTAATTTGAGACTATGGAATGTAACTTATTCAAATTTTGCAATCAAACGGCGATATACTTCAAAATATTTTTACAAAATTAATTTCATAAAAAATCAAGCGGTAATTATCATATTTGGTTGTTATATCTCTTCTTTCGCCTCGAAGAAAATACATAATTTCTGTTCTAAACGTTACGGAATCTTTGAAATAACATTTCCTCTTCCTACATTTTTACATTTCCGTTCCACTTTCGCCATTTAAAATTTTATTATAAATATTAAATCGTATTTAAGGAATATATTTAAGACATCAATAATAATTAGGCATTGAGAGCTTATAATTAGGCGAAACTAAAGCTAATCGATGCCTCGAAGATTTAATTGTCATGTTGAACCATCCCAAGGACTGTGATAACATCTTTTTGGATCCTGGCCCTACTGCCTAGCGAATTATCATAATTTCATGCCCTTGGGGATCCATAATTTTAAGACTTCGCTGAAATGGCAACTTTATGGCCGTGTAATTTCACAATACATAATTTACTTGTAGTTTATTATTTTTTTTTTTAAGTCACTCGGCAATCGTGACCGATTTTCAATTGATGTAGATCTTCCATTCCTGTTTATCAGATGAGTCAGTTCCGTGTCCCACTATTTTTGGAATCACCAAAGTCTAATGTTTAAAAATTATCAATTCATTAATTTAAATATTAATTAATTAGGAAAATTCAATCAAGATTACTAATTAATTTTAAACGTAGATACTTATTAATATATTAATACTTATTAATTTAGTTATTTATTAATTAATTTTGAATAATTGTTGTCAGAAGTATAACAGATAAGGTGAAATTTCATGCATGAGATAGGACTAGAAGTAATTAAAAAAATCTTAATTAATTATTATCATTTTTACAGCCACGTTGCAAAAGCAGATCCATGCAAAAACTTAAATTTTCATAAAACAAGCATCTTATATTGTATATAATACACACACACACACTTATTTATTAAACTAATGCGCGAAAGTGTAAATAATTATTTACAAATGTAAGTCAAAAAGTGTTCACAGTTTTAAGTATCATTAGCTACAATCGATATTGACTAGGGATTGACTGATACCGATATATTTTTTTTTCTTTTTTCTTTATTGAGTATTAATACAGTCTGCCACACTGAAGGGAATTGGTACTAGGGCTATAGTATTCATTCACACAATATGTACATAAGAAAGGAAAAAAAAAAAAATATATATATATATAAACAAAACAAATTCACACCTATGTACAATATTTGCATTAGCCCAGGGGACTCCGAATCAAGCTTTGTTCCCCAACTGTGGAAGCCAAAGCAGGACTCCAGGAGATCCCAGTACTTCTCTCCCAGCCGCTTCACTGGTTATAGATATTAATATCGACAAATCTATATATCGGCCTCGAGATTAGTAAAGTTTCAACTGGAATATTCTATTAATTGCTAATAAACTAGTCAAACTATCCTTGAGGAATATGTGTAGCAATACATGGGATATTTTTGAGAAACTGTACAAATCTTTACCGAAAGGAAAAAGAAACATTGCGTGCCGAAATTTCTATATCGATTGATCTCCAGTATTGGCGGACAGTTCTGAGAAATTTAACGCAATCTACAATAAGATATCATTATTATTATAAAAAAAAAAAATGCAAAAGCAGTCTATAATAACAATAATTAATCAAGTATTAACATGAACTAAGTCGTTACTTCATGTGAAACGGAAGGAAATAAATATATTAGGCTACGTAAAACGAGGCAGAACTCAAACGTTTAAAAACCTTATCATGCCGCAACAACAAATATGCTAGAAATCCTCTTTAAGAGAATAAAAAAAATGAAGAGACTTATGTTAAACATCCTCAAAAGTTATAACGATCTATAAGAAGATAGCGAGGTGTTAACAGTTGTGGACAAATTTGATATAGTATTTTTCCACTTACCGATAGCTGGATCTAGTATTAAAAAAAAATTAGTAATTATTATAAAATTAGTTTAAAATAAGTAAATACCAGTAAAAGTGAAAAGGGACATAAATCCGTAACAGACTGCCTTACGAACATAACTATATGGTAAAAGGGATTCCGTAGTTCATGATTAAAGATTACTTTTTAACGATATGGAATATGCTAATGAGACTATGAAAGTACTAGTATAGGAACATCGCACGACCGAGATTATCTCTTGATAACAAATCCCATGCTATCCCTATTTAAGGTACGTTTACATCTGAAATAGATTCACATAAATCGATTATTCAACCGATATGGTTAGTGCCTATGTTTGAATCATAAAAATATGAATAGAAAAAGATAAACTGATATTTTATTAATATTACAATCTACAATATTAAATATATATCAATGATAACCATTTATGCCATAAAATAAAAATTAATCCTATATTATCATCGATACAAATGCTAACTATCGAATATGAAACATTCCCATTTTTTTAATCCTGCATCCTAGCGATTATAATTTTAATTAAATATTTTTAAACAGTAATTTTAATATTTTTAATATATAATTTTCGAAAGTTGATAAAAGCAGATATTAGTGTGGAAATTAAAACAACTTCGTCGTTTGGGCTAAGCTGATGAAGATAGTAGAGTGGTGACTTCCACATTCGATAGTTAGCTTCTTTATCGTCTATATATATATATATATATATATATATATATATATATATATATATATATATATATATATATATATATATATCTTACATTACATTTTAAATAAATCTGAACTTGAATATCAGTTAAACTTAATAGTCTTTGAATTTTTAGGAAAAAGCACCATTAGTCCTGTAATAAGTATATTTGTTTTCTTAACATCTGACTTTTTATAGTCATTGTTTTATAGTTCATAGACTACGAAAATATTATATTATTTTATCTCTATATATTTTATTCGTTGTAAATAAATGTTTGTTACATAAATTTTAGATATTTTCTATTATTATACTTAAATCTATTGGAATTATTCAGTGTGTATGATGTTTGTTTATTTGGGCTTTGAAGCGTAAAATACATATTTATATTGTGTTAAGTAATCCATGAGTTTTAAGGAAGTTTATAACTGTTTTTATATTTAATTCGTCATTATTTAATATAGCTGAAGTATCCCATCTAAGAGATGATCTATTTAAACTTGTGGTGTAATAGGGGCATTCCTGAAAAATATGGCTAGTGTGTAAGATGTAATTTCAATTTAATTTCCTTTAAGTTATTTTTTTTTTATAACTGATACTACTTTCCTATTATTTTATCATGAATATTTTTATTTTCCGTAAATTTGGTGCGAATAACCTCTTTTCTTATTATTATCAATGTCTTTTATAGAGGCAGCACCTAATACTATTTGCTAAAAAACGGTTTCAGAAAAATATATAGATTCGGCTTTAGTGTTTTAACAATTATACTTAAATAATTTGCTCCTTATTTATCAAACCAAAATTAGTTTTGTGAGTTTTAATAATATAATTAAGGTGTTCATTTATTCTATAAGGAAAAATATATTAAAAAAGAAAAAATTAAAATAAAAAAAAAGGTTTATTGGCTTATCCCTGAAACCTTGTAAGTCCTTTAAAACAAACTTTCATAAGAAAACAAAAGCTCTATTAATAAATAGAGTAATAATATGTGAATTGAAGTCATTTGTCGATATCTTTGTATTCATTTATATTGTAAATTAAATATTACTGTACACTCTTTATATTATCTTACAGATTGCAGGATACAGCTTATAGGATATTATAACTAAAAATATTTGTGCAACTCCTTTTGGAAAACTAGAAAACTGGAAAACCTCAAGTGTCAGTCTAAATCAAGTCTTGATAACATGATTTATAAACTATTAAGAAAAAAATTAATTTATTTTTTTAATATAGATATGCCTTAACCAACTCTCTTTCAAATAAGTGTTCTATTTCACTAGTGAATATGATTCATTCAATTTTTATCTTACTAGAGAGAGTTCATAATTCTTCGAATATTATCATAACGGACGTCCTAAATCAGTCAAATATAAGAGGAGACGCCAGAGAACTATCTAAATATTAAAAACTAATTAAGTCTTAATGGTTACCATTTATTAATTCGTGATTAATAGTTCAACCTACCAATAGGATCGAAATCCTTGTGCATAAGATTATAAACCAATAAAGGATAAAGTAGGACAAACAGTGACATAGAAAAACTAAAATTAGAATAGTTTGAAAATACAAATACGTTTTCAAAATTAATCATTCCAAACCCTTGAGGAATGTCGACTTCGAAGGAGGCAAGACTGTTTAGGAGCACGACTCTATATCTCTTCATGCCAAAAGAAAAAGAAATAATAAAAAAAAATCCTGCCCTATCAATATAACCTTCCAAAAAGTCAGTGGCGGTATACTTTTGCATAAAATACATTTTATAAGAAGTCGGTAGATTTTTATCAGCAAAGGGCGAAAGAAAAGCACATAGGCAGCAAGCCAATCTATCCAGAAGTATAAAATTAATCACTATTTGCATACATTTTTTTTCAATCTAGATTAGATTTTTTGTAAACGTCCTGATTTATGAATTCCATGTTAGTTCCAATGGTATAAATTAATAACATTAAATAACAGTCTACATGAATTTTTTAAAAATATTACACCAAGAAAAATGATACAACTGAAGTTGTAATTTATCATTCAACTAAAAAAGCATGATTGAACAAATGATTTTAAACAAGTTATATATTTAATGGTATTCCGAAAAAACTGTTTTCTTTTTTAGTATGTCGTAGGTATTTTAATTTATTTATTTTCTGTTTTGGACCAAAGAAGATCGTTTAAAAATTCTGAGTATTTTTTTTTTCATTTTTAACCGATATGGTTTTATATTCAGAGATTCGCAAACTATTATTGTTGGATATTGGTTCCAAGATATATTGCTAACGTTTTGAAATTTCTTTCACCAACATATTTGACGGAATTTTTCTCTTTGAATTCTTAAAATTTAATTTAGGATAAAATTGAAAGTATGGATGAAAATTTAACGCTGTGCCACACTCCTGTATTTATATTTAAAAGTTTTGATATTTTGCTTCCATATATTTTCCATTTGTAGGAGTAAGTGCTTCACATATTAGGTTTACAAATTTAGATTTCACATCGAAGTTTTGTCTGAGGCTTCTCTATGAACTGAATCAAAGATAATTTATAAATCAACAAAAGTCACCAAGATTTTTTTTTAGTTTTCTATGCCGAAGTAATGGTTATAAATCTAGTCCTTGTTTTTGCTCGAAACCGGCCTTAAAATTTTCCGTTTTCCAAAATGGACCCTTTTTAAGTTTCAATGTTTTTTATTTACTACTGAAATAATCAATAATTTTCGGTAATAATATGCAAATAATAAAAAAAATCAGTTTTGATATATTAG